CACTGTATGTTGTCTGTTTAGCTTAGTCTGACACATACCTTGAAATCTGGCAATTTCTTATTTTAAAATGAGCTGCTGGCTGAGACAAATGAAGCAGATCTGAACTAAAAAATGCTACAGTGTGCAATTTTTTATCATTCTGAACCAAATGAACCAAAGCAGAGTTGTAAAAGTGACTTGAAGGAGCTTTTAGACTAAATATAAAGCAAACATCATCTGTCGAATCCTTTGGATGCTACTGGAATACAAATAGGGACCTAAAAATCACTCGAGCCCTCCAGCAGACGAACCTTTGCTTCATATTCAATTAGAGATCACCTCTAGAGTATTGGAGGGTGGATTTTTCCTGTATAATTTACATAGTTCTCATTTATGCAGCCAGTGGTGTGAAAATCAAAGCCTCTCATACGAACCTGATACAGATCCTATTCACAAGAAGTATTGCAGAGAGGAAGGGAAAAGAAGAGAAATAGCAAGAAAGGCATTGTGAGGCTGTTAGTTTGCAGAAGATCAATATCCAACATGTCTGAATGAGGGAGCATTCAGACATGGAGAGAACCAAGAAGGCAGAAAGCCAATATAACTTAAAATATACAATCAAACCAAAGATTTGATCAGGTAGCAACTCCTAAAATTCCTCTATATTACACAATATAGGAAAGCATTTACTGTAATACTGAGGAGGAGAACCACATGCAAGGACAACACATGCTTTTATGTGTACTGTTACTCAATTCCACTCTATTTGTACATTCAGAAAATCCTTTTCTTATAGAACATAGTCTAGAGAAGCTCTTCTACATTCTGAGTAACTCATTGTGTGTGACTAGTGAATAAGACATTCGACTCATATGATCAGTGTGCAGCAAATTATAAAACATGCTGGATCTTGAGTTAAAACAGCCAGAAGAGAAGCTCAGAAAGTTCAGAAAGACTGATGTTATTCCAGGACTCAGTGCCACAAAGACTCAGTACAAACACTTGAACTTACATGAAGCTGACAATGAGGAGGATGGTAGATATACTGTTCTGTCCTCCGCGCGAACGCTCCCCAAGCTTTATATACTGAGCACCTAAAAAAGAAGAAAGTGATCAGGATTCCCCATTTTCTTTCCAGTCTATATTTTTCTGACTCTTCGAAGTGACTGATGAGATTCAAGCCGCTGACACTAACAAGTGTGTCTAAATATGTAATGTGACCTTTTCTATGTTTGAATGTTTTTTCTATGATGACTTATCTTATTTTGGTGAGCCAAAGACAAATTTCCACCCCAGTGGACAATTAAGATGTATTCTATTCTAATGTTTCTAGTTCTTAAAAAAATACTTCACTATTGCTTCAAGTTATTTTCAGGTCCAAAACGAATAGAACAGTTTCCCCTTAATTCCTCTTGTAATCTAACTCTACACAGAGCCACTAGAGGGTAGTATTGTACAAAAGATGGATTCACCTTCAACGTTGGTGGCAAGGACTGAAATTGGAACACTGAAGAACATTTCAATAACTGCACCCTGGCTAACTTACTGGCTTCTCTCCTGTCTCTGTCCTCTCCGACTCCTCTGTCCCCTCGGTCTCCGGTGCCCATGCCTCCTCCTTCCCTCTCCCTCTCCTTCTCGCTCTGCCGTCTAGAGCAGGTGCGTTTGCGCCGGCGCAGGGCTGGCGGGGTCTTGGCAGCGTCGGCGCCCACTGCTTCGCCTGTGGTTACCACGGAAACCTCAGACTGCAGTAGCGTCTCCAGCTTGCTCACTTCGCTCTCTGCATGGGCGTAAGTAAGTAGATGGAGGAATTAAAATGCGCATAACACAGGAAAGTGAAGTGGAGAGAAAAATGTAACTGTCACAACATGTCCTAAACATAGACAGTAGCCAAACAGAATATACGTTGAGGAAAGAAGAACCAACCAAATTGTGTCCTTAGCACCTCGGTATCAAGTACAAATGCTGGCATAATGCTTGGTCATATACTTGGTATTTTATTCTTTGACCAGACATTGCCATATTTTAGATAATTATATGTAAATGTATGTGTGGGTATTATGTGGGAAAAATTCTTTTATGTCTCCTACATAAATGAAAAGTCCATGTGCACTGGAGTCCACATCCCACTTGAGTAATACTGCATATTGGACCACAATTGGCTTCTAACACATCTTAAACTCAGATTTAAGTTCAAACTACGCATACATAATTCTGCAAAGTGAACCTCAAACATCAGAGTTGTCCGATTGTTGAGTGGAAGTGAAATGTAAATGGTTTTTGGGTGCAGCCCGTATATATATATATATATATA